AGGAAGTGTAGGACGGGGAGAACTAAAACCACGGGCAAGGGGAGCTGTGAGGGAGGAGGAGCCGCGGGTTATAAGGGAGAGAAGGAAGGAGATTGACGGAAGGTATGAAAAATGAGTCATGGTCTTCTCCACAGAAATTGTGAAGTAAGAAATGTGTCTTGTTTTAAGCTGCTAATTTTGTGGTAGTTTGTTCTTCAGTGAAAGAACACCATATTCATGACTGTCTCTTCCGGTAAGACTCTTAAGTCTGTGACGATGTCTGTCATGTACCACTGAATCAACAACATCTGACACAATGCCTGGCCCATAGTTTATGTGCAGAAAGCATCTGAGGACTGAAGAATGGATGGAAAAGGAGGTGATCAGGAACCATAGTTTGAATCCCTCTTTTATTGGCTTTTATCCATATTTTGGGCTGGATGAATCACAAGCTGGAATCAAGATTGCTGGGAGAAATATCAACAACCTCAGACATGCAGATGATACCATGGCAGAAAGTGAAGAGGAATTAAAGAGCCTCTTGATGAGAGTGAAAGAGGAGAGTGAAAAAACTGGCTTAAAACTCAACATTCAAAAAACTAAGACCATGGCATCTGGTCCCTTTGTGAAGTCGCTCAGTTATGTCCAACTGTTTGTGATCCCGTGTACTGTAGCCTACCAGGCTCCTCTGTCCATTGGATTTTCCAGGCAAGAGTATTGGAGTGGGTTGCCATTTCCTTCTCCAGGAGATCTTCCCGACCCAGGGATTGAACCTGGGTCTCCCACATTGTAGGCAGACGCTTTACCATCTGAGTCACAGAAGGGGAAAAAGTGGAAGCAGTGACAGATTTTATTTCACCGTGGATGGTGACTGAGGCCATGAACTTAAAAGACGCTTGCTCCTTGGAAGGAAAGCTATGACAAACTAAGACAGTGTATTTAAAAGCAGAGACATCATTCTGCCAACAAAGGTCCTTCTAATCAAAGCTATGGTTTTTCCAGTAGTCATGTATGGATGTGACAGTTGCAGCATAAAGGATGCTGAAGAATTGATGCTTTCAAACTGGTGCTGGAGAAGACTCTTGAGAGTCCCTTGGACTGCAAGGAGATCAAACCAGTCAATCCTAAAGGAAATCAACCCTGAATATTCATTGGAGGGACTGCTGCTGAAGCTTCAATACTTTGGCCACCTGAAGCAAAGAGCCAACTCGTCAGCAAAGACCCTAGTGCTGGGAAAGATTGAAGCAAATGGAGAAGAGGGCGACAGAGGATGAGATGGTTAGATAGCTTCACCAACTCATTGGACATGAATCTGAGCAAACTCTGGAAGATAGTGAAAGACAGGGAAGCCTGGTGTGCTGCAGCCCATGGGGTTGCAAAGAGTTGGACATGACTTAGCAACTGAACAACAAAAACAACATCATATTTCTAATTATCATACTTTAAAGAATAACTTTTATCCTTATGAGAAATGGATCATAACTCCTATATTATCCTTGGGGAAAATGAAGCATAAAGAATTTTGGCATCTGGCTCCACCCAGATGGACAGTAAAGCATTTATGATGCTTGAGCCTGGGACTGAGGGGTAAGAGAGAGGAAAGTAGACTGAAGAAGCCTTGATCTTTTGTTGTCTTCTCAAGCTCATGGGCAAAGATCAGATCACAGGCTATCAGTTAAGACGTGGGCTGGGAGAAACATGCAGTGGTATTATAATAAAGTTATACAGCCAATTTCCAGAACTGAAGTTACACATGCTTTTATTTTTTTTAGCACCCTGAAGCGAGCCCTTGAAGTCTTCAAGCAACGTAAGTGATTCCTTAAAAATGCATTTGCTGTCCTTGGCAAGCTCTGTGTCTGTCATCACAGCTGCGTTTTAACTTGAACAGCTCATACTGGTTAAAAAAAAAATAGAGCAACTGCTAAGGTGATGAATAGCCCTTCAGAGTCGAAATCAATTGGAGAACCGTCTATACCTGCACTTCATGATGTGCATTTGACTCACTTCAGGCAGTGGTTCTCACACTGGAAATCCAGCATGAGGCCCTGGCACTGGTCTTCAGGGGTTCCTGTCCATTTCTAGCATTTCCTGGGCCTGTGACTCAGAGTTTAAGGCCTTTAAATTTTCTGTTCTTAGTGCTTCCAAGCTAAGGACTTTAACGTGGCACAGTATGTGCTTAACATGTTTCTGTAGCTAGTTGAGTGGTGCTAGATATCTTTCCATTTCATTTCATATAGATCTGCCTCACTCTTATATTTAACATTTTTTATTCTACAAAATGCTGCATTCCCTCTCAAAAAGTGGTAAATTTCCCCCCACCCACAGTACTGTTTTTTCCATGCTTGCCAATACCAAGAATGTTCGAACTTTAATTCCAAACCAAAGGATGAAAAGTGATATATTTCTGGATTTTAAAAATTTTGTGTTTTTTTTTTTTCAGTAGTTTTAAGGCTGAATATGTTTTCAAATGTTTACTGGCCATTTGGACAATCTTTTAAAAAATTTCATGCTCTTTAACCATTTTAAAACTCTGGAATAAATACATTTATTTCGATTTGAAGCTCTTTTAATATAGCTATTTACTTTGTCGAGTAAATTGCTATTTTTTTCTAGTTTTTTGTGTCTCTTCTAACCTTATTCCAAGTTATTTGACACACACAAGTTTAAAACTTTTTCTTAGGTCATATCTGTCAATCTTTCTTTTTTTTTCCCAATCTTTCTATCTTTAATGCCATCTATAATTTGTATCCTTGGAACAAGAAAAAAAAAAATTGTTACCTTTTTTGAAAGGTAAGTCATGCTCTTTACAAAGATCTCAGAAAATAAAGGGAAAAACACCAATAATTATTCTATCCAGAGAGAAATTTCTTACAGGCTCATGAGAAGTTAGAAATGGGAAGAACCTTAGAGTCATGTAATGAGAAATAGGATTGAATTTGAAATTGTAGTGGGTTTAGTAATGTGTGCTAGCATGCAAGCTCCATGAACTTCTCCCCTGCCTTGGGCATACACTAGGTTAGTGCAGCTAGTGGTGGAAAGCTGAACTAAAGGTTTGCTGGCTTGGTTGTAGTCGGGGCAATGCTGGGTATGTGGAGGGGCTTAATAAATGTTGGTGACCAAGTGAAGCAGGTTAACTTTGCCACGTACCCAAGAATTCTGTATATATTTTAACCTTTTATATGGTTTCTTTGATTTGAATTCAGACATGCAGGTTTTTTTTTTAATTCTTTTTGCAGAAGTAGACAATGTGGCACAAAATCACATTCACCTCGCACAGACTCTAAGAGAAGAAGCCAGGAAGATGGAAGAATTCAGGGAAAAGCAGAAGTTACAACGAAAAAAGGTAAGGTTTATGTGTTACATGGTTTATGTGGTTGGGTTGGATTTATGTGTTATATCTTACATGTATTAAGATGTTGCCTTTCTTCCAGCAGAAAACTCCAGGCTTGTTTTCTCACGGAACTGTTTAGCTCAGCTCCCAACCTCAAGCACACACACTCATCTTTTAACCTATGAGATTATTTATTGGGAACCATGTGGGCAGTCAGTCTAGACAGGGATGCCTCTGTGCCCACTTACATGCTCTGTCAATTCTCTTTTAACTTGTTGCAAGAATCAGAGGTCCAGCTTGCTTTCCTGTTCTTTTTCTATCTGCTGCCACTGTTTAAACTGTGACAGGAAAGGGGAAGCCCTGTTTTCATAAGAGTCTAGCACATCCAAGGTGGTGGGTTTTCAGTTCACATTCCTCCTCCTGGTCAGGGCGATATGGATGGGTAAGAAATGGAGGGGACTCAGTTCTCCCTGGAGACCAGAATGTAGTCCAACCACTCTATTTTACAATTAGGGAAACACAGGTCCTGGGAAATTCAAGTCCTTTTGGCTTCAAAGTGGATATTATACAGGCGCTTTTTCCTTGACGGGATATATTCTGGGCAATTATGTGGCAGGAGGTGGGAATGAACAAGAGTTAATAAAATTGGCAAACGTCTAGGAAGTTACAAGGGTCAAGACAAGAAGTGCAGATTTATGTTAAAGTGTTCCTTAGACTAGACCACCCTCTGTTCTGTTTCGCTTCTGTTTTGGTCCTAAAAGTTTAATTTTTTTGGCTGTGCTGAGTCTTTGTTGCCGCAAGGGCTTCTCTCTAGTTGTGTTGCATGAGCTTCTCGTGGAGGTGGCTTGTCTCACGGAGCATGGGCTCTAGTGCCTGCAGGCTTCAGTAGTTACAGCTCGAGGGCTCTAGAGCGCAGGCTCAAGCTGTGGTGCATGGGCTTAGTTGCTCCAAGGCACATGGAATCTTCCCAGACCAGGTATCGAACCTATATCCCTGCATAGGCAGGCGGATTCTTATCCACTGTGCCACCAAGGAAGTCCCCACAGAACTTTAATATCTGGTCTCCAAGGTTGGCATGAACTTCATGTGAGAGATAAACTCTTCCCTATGTAGCATCTGAACATGTCCACCCAGGTCACTTCAGACAGCTCTGCATGGACTTGGCGATCTTTCTTCATCCTGGCCCTTTACTGTCTGGAAGTCATTGTCTGCAGTGTGTGTATCCAGTTAATGGCTGATTTTACCCATGCCTCAATCCCAGCAACTTTGCCTGTGGTTCTAAATCAGAGTCTAATTCTGACCTCCCTTATGGCCTCCCTTATTTGACATTTGGAGTGGGTGGAGGCATCTTAAGAGCCTGACTACCTTCCATACACTGTCATTTCATAAGCTGCCCTGACAGCTGTGCCTCTTCTCGGAAGGAAGGGTAGGAACTAAGAATTAAGGAACATGATGTCAGGTGTTTTCAGACAAATTCAAGGTTCATGTATCTGGTTTGAGGGGCACATCTGGCCCAAAGTATATGTGTATTACACCCATCTATCTATTGGATGGTCAGACTCTTTTTGTCTGCCATTGCAAACCCTTCCTGTTCTCCAAAGGGTTTACAATTTTTCAGCCTTCGACAGCCAGGGTCTATGCACATGTGATTTCCACCAAGAGAAGAAGAGGCTTGTTTCCTCACAGTCTCAAGTGCCCTTGGTTTCAGGGAGAGTTTTGTTAATTTTGCAAGGCTTCTGAAACTTCCCTTCCTAGCATGTTACAAAGACCAAGTTCTCACAGCTGAAACTGTTTTGAATTATCTTAAGCAACAGCGGAGCCTGGGCTCATTCCACTGCTGTCATCAAAGTGCCCCATGTTGTGCGCTCTTGACAGCAGGAAAACAGCTTCTGAGCTTTCTTTGCCAAGTCCAAAGTTTATTCATAAATTTAGTTACTTGTATCACAGTGAACTATGGGTTGTTCCACTTCTGTATTTAGATACTTTAAAAAAAAATAAAACTTTTGGAGAATATGTGTCAATGTTAACTTCTCATTTTCACTGGTCAAACCCTGCACACGTTGGTCTCTCACTTCTTGGAAATTAAGCCATTTCCATTTATCAAGGAAATCCATCAGTTGGTTTCTTTTAGTGAACTGGGGCAGGGGAGGTGTGGATAGAATGGCTGGTATAACTTTTCAGTGAACTAGCTTATAGAACTAGGAGAAGCCTTTTTGATCCTCAAGTGGTATAGGTGACGCTGTTGATGCTTGTGTTGAGTCCAGAACCGCAGCCGAACATGGGGCTAGAGGATGAGCAAAGGATGCTGACTGGGTCTGGAGATCCCAAGGAGGAGGAAAAAGAGGAAGAGGAATTAGTGGATCCTCTGACAACAGTGAGAGAGCAATGCGAGCAGCTGGAGAAATGTGTGAAGGCTCAGGAGCGGCTAGAGCTCTGTGATGAGTGTGTATCCTCCAGGTCACAGACAGAGGATGACTGCACAGAGGAGCTCTTTGACTTCTTGCATGCAAGGGACCACTGTGTGGCCCACAAACTGTTTAACAGCTTGAAATAAGTGTGCAGATTTGTTCAATCCAGCCTTCATCACCTGGGTATTGGGATATTTCCTCATGGTTTTGAACATGATGTTTATTTGTGTAACTGAGTTCACGTGAATATCAAGGATTTGGGCTTAGGCAAGTAATTTCTGTGTAATTATCAGTGATAATAAAGTCCAGTGATCAGCAAAAAAAAAAAAAAGAACTAGGAGAAGGCAATGGTGACCCACTCCAGTACTCTTGCCTGGAAAATCCCATGGACGGAGGAGGCTGGTAGGCTGCCATCTGTGGGGTCGCACAGAGTCGGACACGACTGATGCCACTTAGCAGCAGCAGCAGCAGCTTATAGAACTAGTTTTCTGAAGGTGATGACAAATGCAGCCATGGCCATCCCTCCCCCAGAGCATAGAGCCTGGCCAGAGAGACTGGTGTGACAGTACTCATGTCAGTGGAATGAGCCTTAAAAGATGAGGAAGTGAAGCTGCCAGCCAAACCTGCATGGGGACACCTAACCTAACCGGTTGGTCGGGGGAGCCTCCTGGAGGCAGTGACCTTGAAGCTAAAGCCAACAGAGTGTGAAAGACGGTGTGAATGAGGGCAGAGAAAGGAGGTTCTCAACTCTGGAGGCTGGCAGGCAGGGAGGGGTCTTTGGAGCCACTCTCAGGAGGTTTGACGTTTTAGGTGCTGAGGTGCTTTTCCCAGCCCAGAGCATCCTAAACTGAACAAAGGAAGCGCGTGGTCACTCACTCCATCCTCTGGTGCCTACATCATGCTTTACTGTCTCAACTAAGACAGGGGTGATCGTGGCAGAAGGCCCTGTGTCGAGAGCAAGCTCCGAAGAAGGGAACCTCGTTGGTCACATAGACTGTCACTTCCAGTTTTCAGAGTAGAGTCTGAGTGTAGGTAAACAGACAAACAGACCATTCAGCAGCACAGTCAGCAGTTACTGCAGGCCGTTATTATACATCTCTCTTCCTTTTCCCCTTCCTCTTGCCTCTCCCCACTTGATAGCATGCAGGGCTGTGGCTTTGCACTGTTTTGTGTTACTGATAAGAAAACGTAATCAAATTTCCACTCGAGTCGGTCTAAACAGAAAGAATGAGTCCTGGAAGAAAGACGTCCGTAAGGAGCCCTGAAAGAGGCTCCCTGGTGGTCCAGTGGTGAAGGCTCTGTGCTTCCACTGCGCAGTTTCAATCCCTCGTTGGGGAACTAAGATCCTGCATGCTACATAAGTCCTGAAAAAGAACTCATGACTTACTGGGGTGACCATGAAAAGGCCACCTTACAAGTGCGTATGGACATGGGGAGACCTAAATCAAGGTGCTAGCAGCCAGCTGGACTGGGTGTCCCTGACTGGCCTTGAGCTATATCACTTTGTGGGCTCCAGGGGTCACACCAGTTTGGTTAGAGCTAGACTGCTGCTCTCTAAGATCCTGCTGATATACAAATACAGGAATCCTTGAAGCCAGAGAGAAGGATGGCATGAAGTACAATAGAGCTTTGTAGCCACATGAGAGGGGCATGATGCCAGTGTTACGGAGAACTTGGAGATAAGGAGGCCTGGCTTAGGCCATAAACTATAAAATAGTAACAGCTCCTGAACTGGAAGAACGGCAGTGTGTAAATTTGGACTAGGAAGGACCATGGACAGACCAGCATTGCTAACTGATCTGCTCTGTGGAGCCTGGGAAATCAAGAAACATTATGAACAAACTCTACTCTCCGCACAGAGGCACCTCACAGAGGTGCTCACGTGAGCCACACAGCTCTCTGTCTGAAATGGCAGGGATCTGTCTGCCTGGGAGTCTTTCCCCGTGGGGTCACGTTTCTGTTTCTGTCCTCCATTTCCTTGAAGCCTTCACCCAGTTACTTCCTGGTCCTTCCATTTCAGCTGGGCTGGGAGATGGGTGTTCCATTCTCAGAGGGCCCCTTGGGGCCTTGCCCAGGGAGTTTCATATATTCTACAAAGTTTGTATCTGAAGTGAGACCATCCCAAAACTTATATCCAGCTATCTTGAAAATCTATCCTATTTGTGTGTTATGGTAATAGACAAAAACTTAAGTTTTCCAGAAGAAAGAGACACATTTTAATATTCTTAGTATTATTTTGCGTTATATCATTTTGTACAAGGGCAATGCCATAACTCATTTTGAACTGTTGCATCTCTTGGCTTTTATATACTCAGCTGATTTTAGAGGGCTATCATGAGGATAATGGTAGTTTTGGGTAAAGATTAGGAACAAGGACACGGGAGTCTGACTGTGCCCAAATCCCAACTCTGCTACTTGCTGAGAATATCACCTTGGATGAGGTTACCCGGGAATGGGGCTGAGTACTCACAATCGTTGTGATGCATGAAAGTCGCTTAGCACATAATAGTGTGGGAGCTGCCGTTATGTCTGGGCTGTGCCTAGTCACTCAGTTGTGTCTAACTCTTTGCAACCCCACGGACTGTAGCCCGGGATCCTCTGTCCACGGGGATTCTCCAGGCAAGAATACTGGAGTGGGTTGCCACGCCCTCCTCCAGGGAATCTTCCGTGGATTGAACCCAGAGATTGAACCCAGGTCTCCTGCATTGCAGGTGGATTCTTTACCACTAGGGAAGCCCACTATTATGTCTGAGAGTTGCATTTTTATGATCAGTCCTGTTATTTTGACTAATAAAAGTACTGTCACAGCCACATCAAAGAAATTGCTCCCAAGTGATCTCAACCAAGTAGCTTACCTTTCCTGGATTAGATGATGAACATAGTAGGACTAATCAGCTGTTCCACAAGCATTTCTTCCCTTCATACTGCCTGGGCTCCTTCCCGGTGATGGGAGTGCCTTTGACACATGCCACAGAAGTGAATGTTTCTGAGTCCCTAACTGCGCTGACATAGGCTTACAGAATAAAGAACCCTTTTAAAATGAGCAACATTTAAAAAATCCCTTTTGGAAACTTGAGGCTTCCCTGGTGGCTCAGATGATAAAGAATCTGCCCGCAGTGTGGGAGACCTGGGTTCAATCCCTGAGCCAGGAAGATTTCCTGGAGAAGGGAATGGCTACCCACTCCAGTCTTCTTGCCTGGAGAATTCCATGGACAGAGGAGCCTGGCGGAGTCACAAAGAGTCGGACATGACTGAGTGACTAACACTTGAAGCCTAAGTTTCTTGATTCCAGATTTACTGATGAGAATACTCTAAGGTGATCCATGATTCTCAGTAGTGGCTGGTGGCCACCCAGGTTCAAAGGTAGGCAAATTGTTCAGTCTTTCTGTGCTGCACTCTCCTTATTTGTGAAATGGGAGTAATAAGAAATAGCACATCCACCCGCTGGGTTGTGTGAGGACTAAACAAAGTAAGCCATGTTGAACGCTTAGCCCTCAAAGTAAACTGGCATTAATAATTGTCTTTATTTATAGTGCTTGTGTTCTCTTCACAGACGGAGCTTATAATGGATGCTGCCCATAAACAAAAGAGCTTACAATTCAAGAAAACCATGGATGTAAGTCTTACTATATTGCTTTTAAAAAAAAATGGTGGGGAATTCCCTGGTGGTCCAGTGGCTGGGACTCTGCGCTCCTGATACAGGGGGGCTGGGTTCGATCCCTGGTTAGGGAACTAGATCCCACATGCCACAACTAAGACTCTATGTAGCCAAATAAATAAAAATAAATGTTTAAAAAAAATAAATTAAAAAAAAATAAAAAAAATGGTGGCATTTTATGAAATCCTGTGCTGTGTATCAACATTTTCCTGAAAATAACATTTGTGCAGTCTTTTAGAGAAAACAGCCTTTAGTGGTGTGACTTTCTTTCCTTTTAATGCCTTGGAAAGATTGAGGATGAAATTAGAAGAAATATAATGATGTTATCTTTCCAGCAACCTGGGAAAATATAGCAAATCAACTTAAATATTTCAGACCAGGGCATGTATACTATATGATACCTTTCATCTTGTTGGATTTGAACTTCTTCCCTGTAAGACTGTTTTGAATCTTGATTTCTTACCTATTTTTATTGAGTTTTAAGATACCTGCAAACTGTAAAAGCCTTCTTTGCTTTAAGTAATTTATTTTAAAAATGCTTATCAAGATAGAACTGAGACAAGTTGTTGGGATCTCACACTAGCTTTTCATGAATCCCCTACTGTTGAATTGTGTTACTGGAACATCTGTGACTCCATCTTTGTACAGAAGTGTCATCATATATCCTGTGACTGTGACATCATACCTGGGTAGCTGGTCAAAAAAGAAAATGCCACTAATGTTGATGGCATATGCAGTCTATTCTGCATTTTTTCTTTTGTTGGTGAAGTGTGAAATTTCCTTGGTTCTGTCTTGCCACAGCAAAGATTTGAAACGGAAGACCAGTGTTACAGCTTGGTTACAGCTCAGAGTTTTATTCGGCAAGCAAAGTAAAGTACACTCTCAAGGCATGAAGGCGGGCTGACCCCAAAGGAGAGGCCTCAATCTGTCTTGGCTTCTTCCTTTTATATGTTTGTCTCCTCCCCATCTTGAGCCTGCCTTATGCAAATTGGGTTAGCCAAGAAGGGGGCGTATTTGTTTCACCTGAAGTTCTCACTACAGTCTGCAGATATTCTTTTATTCCATTTTTGTGGGCTTTTCTCTCTTTTGTCTTTTAGCCACTGCCATTTTGGACTCCTTTTTTCTATTCTAACTACCTAACACTTTGATGCAGAACACCCAAAAAGTGATTGATAGAGAATAATGTCAGCATAATGTAGAAAATGGTGTTGGTTGATATATGATTACTCCCAGAATTTTTATGTTTTGAGCAATCTGGGGAAAGCTCTCTCACAAAGAGAAAGTCTTATTGAAATATAAATTTCCTACTTCCTCTGCCTACATTTAGAACTGTAGAATTGTTAAAATTTTTGCTTCAACTGTCAAAACTTTAGAAAATACAAGAAGAAAAAGGAAGAGTATTGTATTTGCCCATTTTTTGCTTAGTGGTTTTTTTTTTTCCCTTCTTCTAATGTTTCAAGGTTTCTTTTATAATTTTTTTTTGCTTAGAGAACTTCTTCAGGCATTTTTCTAAGGTAGGTCTGCCAGTGATAACTACTCTTGTTACCGAAAACACCAAGTCCATGTGTCTGACACACA